ATAGGATGTGCTGTTTCCAACAGATAAAGTGAGAAAAACATCAATGCTCTATGTGGGTACATGGACAATTCTCCAAAGAGGAAAAAAAAATGAGCTTTATGAATTGGGAAAGAAAATTTAACCTCATTACTGTTCAAAGAAATGCAGATTAAAGTAGGATACTATTTTCTACCTATTCAATTGGTAAGCTTAAAACTGTAAATACCCAGTGCTGGTGATAGGCAGTGAAAATTCATACTCACATAAGGGGTCACTGATACAACCTCCTGGGCGTGAGCCAAAAATTTTACTTTGAGGAATTTTTCCTGAGAAAATCATCCAAAATGCTAAGGCTTATAAATAATGACATTCATAGCAGCATTATTTATAACAGAAAAATTATCATTTATAAGACTATGTCTTGAGAGATGGTTGCATAACCAGAAGTCATCATCATTAACGTTAATCCAGTGTCCACCTTGAGCCAAGAAGTGCTGTCCACTAAGCCCCTTGACAACCCTTTGATGTCAAGCGCATTATCGTCTCCAGATTGCCCTGGTCATGCTTCGCCCCACCCTGGGAGTGGCAGAGACTGATGATTCCATCCTGGCTCTGTCCAATTCTCAAGGCCATCTTCCAGGAAGTTAGAAACAAAGATAATCAAGAGGATGTTTTTAACAAAGTAGGGACATGTTTATAATATGATGCTACATAAAATATGAGGATCCCGAATTACTCTTTGATTTTAGGTGAAAAGGGCATAAAATTGTTATGAAATTCAGAGAAGGAAGGAATCTTAGAAGGCAGGAATTGGGAGAGAGGCCATGGAGGCAGTATAGGCATGAGGGATGGAGGGGCAGCAAGGGCACTGTTATTTCACAGAACCATGGCTAGCTTCCCCTAGGCTCCTAGATGGGGGTTTGCACCACACAGAGACCACAATCTGATGCAGTCCATGAAGACACAGGAGTCTCTAGGATCCTGGGGCCCTGTCAACCAGAGCTCCCTGCCCCCACCTCCCTACTTACTGGGGAAGGTAAAGCCACAGTGCCCTCCAATTCTGACAAACAGCCAGTGGTGCCCACTCTCAAGGACCAGACTGTAGTCAGATGAGCTGTGAAGGTCAAGAAAGCCAGGAAGGATGTCTTGGAAACCTGGAGGGAGTTCAGGAATGGCAGCAGAGGACCCAGGATCAGAGATGGCCTCCCTTCCAACCTTGCAGTCTTCACCATGAAGAGTTTTGCAACCAATGGTGAAACTAAGGCAAGGAGAGGCCAACTCACTAGTCTGAATTGTGAATTCACTGGCTGTTTGTCAAAGCCTGTTCTGCACATCAGTGCAGGTGGTGCCCCTCCCACTCAGGGCACCACATGCCCCCAGAGCAGGGCCAGGTGACACTAAGGACCCAAGCAGCCTCTTGGAGTAGTGGCTTGTTCCAAGAAACATTTGCCACATTGGAGGAAGACATCCTTAACTGTTTCAAAGCTGAAAAATAGAAGAAATACTGTTTTTCACTTCCCCTGAAATAAAATTGCTTAACTAGGAGCTTCTCAAAACCCAATCTCCTGGAATATGGAGCCTAAATTTAAATTGTCTTTGGAAGGTCACCGGATCACCTTTATGCAGGGTCAGCCAGCAGTTGCTCAAGATAACTGCTTTTCTGCTGACTCAGACCTTTCCCTCACACAATTAATGAGATCCTGCTGCACTTCCCCTGAGAAAGAGAACAATGGCTGTAGATGAGCAGGTGGCCTTGGCTGGCATGCTGGCCAGTGAGCCCTTCTTCAGAGATCAGGGATTAACATTCCTACCCAGCCCCAGATCCCCTTTGAACCTGGCTTGCAGCCCCACCATGTGACATTGGTCACATGGGCCTCTGTCTGCCCCTCAGGCACTTTGCCCCTTCCTACCTTTGGGCTCTTGCATGAACTTCTTCCCTCGATCTTGGCTGAATTGTCAGTTTCTCAAAGAGACCATCATTCAGTGCCACACTGCCGTCTCTTTCCCCCAGGCTATCGGCACACCTGAAATGGCCCTACCCAGTTACTGGTGGAGGGCAGGAGATTCCTGAGTTGTGCTCCACCAGAGACAGCAGGTAGTCAAGAGACCCTTCTGAATGGAAGGAAGGGTGGGTTGTCTTCATGCTCTTCCTGGGTGTGAACTGGGCCTTTCTTTGGTGGCTCTGGTTCCACTGTGGGCTGGGACCGCAACCTCTACAGTAATGTCGAGGTAGCAATCAGATTGTGGGAGGTGGAGCTTGACAATCCTCTAGCAGCTCCCCAAGATACGGCGGGCTCACTGGGGGCAATATGGGGTACCAGGCTGGAGGTAGGTCCTAGGCTGGAGGTAGGTCCTGGGCTGGGCCCAAAGTGATGAAGAAAGAGAGGCAGGTAGGCAGGTGAAAGGAGTGATCTTCATGTAGCTGCAGCTCCAAGCTGGCTGGAGGAGCAGCAGGCAGTCCTCCACCTAGGACAGATGCATGAGGATGGCTGCTGTGTTGAGGATACTGGTGGGGAAAACCAACAAGAGCAGACAGAAGATGGCTGCTGTGTTGAGGCTTGTTCCTGGATACTGGTGGGGAAAACCAACAAGAGCAGACAGAAAGTTCTAGCTTAGACCTCTAGGAGCAAGGCTGGAGTATGGGGGTAGAAAGGCCTCTGAGAGGAAGTGACTTCAGCAACACAATGCAGCAGATGAGCCGGCTCCAAGCCAAAGCACATGCACTGCAGGCAGAAGAGGCCATGGGTGAGAGACAGACCAGCCTGAGGGACCAGAGTTGGGCAAGTCTGGGTGGTTTATGGTGTGCTGCTGAACTGGCCAGGCCCAATGCAGCCAGGCACAAGTAATCCTAGGCCACTCCCAGATGTCAGCACTTTGTTCATAGGCAGCGAGAGCCATGGAGGGTTTTAGGCAGAGTGTGAGCCAGGGGAGGGGCCTGCCAGGATGGCCCAGCTGCCCTGAGGAGAACAGCCCAAATGGGCAAAGGTGGAGCCTAGACGGCGGAGGAAGCCAGGGCAGTCATCCTGGGAAGACAGCAGTGTGGTGTGTGGTATGGGGACCCTGGGCAAGGTCCCTGGACTCGGGTTGGAGGGAGCAGGATGGAGGGAGTGGATAGGTGGTATGACTGGGCCCTCCGGAGTAGATGGTGGAGGGGATGTCCAGGAGGGTCTACGGGGTGGAGGGGGTGAGGCCCACAGGTCTGCAGCCAGTCAGGTGGTGGCTGGGAGGAGGAAGTGGTCCTTGATGGAGGGAGGTGAGATGGGGGAAAGGAAGGGAGTCGAGCTTCCCTCCACACCCCATCCTCACCCACAGGGCCCAGCAAACTTCTCTCAGGCCTCTCGTCATGCTGAGGCAACAGGGTATTGGCCTTATCTCAGAGCCACCTGAGGAGGAAGGAACCAGGGCTCAGGAGGGTCAGATTTATCGAAGCTCCCATGGCTGTGGCTGGCCTTCTCTGTGGAGGGCCCTGTCTATCACAGCCAAGCACCTTGGACCAGAGGAAAGCATGGGAGTCTCAGCGGCCCCAGTCCAGGATGGAGTAGACTTTGCTGAAAACAAAGGGGCCGACAGGGAGTGTGGGGGTGAGGGTACCAGAAAGGAGCTGGTGCCCCCATGGGGTTGTGGGCTACAGGGCCTACTGACCCCACCTGAGTCTCAGGGGGGCCCAGTGTCCATCCCAGTGCGCCTTTTGAGAAACGGCTGGGCCATTGTGCAGAAGAATGCCCGGAAATCCCGTGCCTCCCTCCTCCAACAAGGATGGGGGCTCTTCCTCCCAGCCAGGAAACTCCAAGTTGGCTTCCGGAGGGTGGCCTTGGGGCTGGAGTGCCAAGGGTACCACTGCTACTGGTGGGAAGACAGAGCACAGACTCTTTTGTCTCTTTGTGTCTCTCCTGTCTGAGGGCCAGAGTAGGCCTGGAGCCTGGCGCCACCGGCTGCGCCTGAAAGTACAGCCGGTGTGCTGTGTCATTGGGGAGCACTAGGGACTTCCTGAAGTGATGTCGCCTGAGCAGGATCAACTCTGCCCCTGCCTCCTAGGATGGGGGATGGGCAGCATCTCAGGAAGAGGATTGGCCTTTGGGAAGGTTGGGAGGTCTAGGAAGTCCCGGAGGCAGGGGCAGAGTTGAGGGGTCTCCTAGGGCCATAGAAAGTTTCCTGTGCTGCTTGCTTTGTGCTGGGGCCTCAGGCCCCAGGGAAGCAGTGCTTGGAGGCCGGTGGCTCTGGGCAGGGCCTTGGACGAGGCTGGAGGCCAGCCTGACCTGCACAATCCTGCCCAGACTCTCCGCCTGTGGGAGAGACAGCGCCGCCAGGACTCAGAGGGGCACCTTGCAGTAAGGGTGCTGAGTAGGGGCCTGGGTCGGGCTTGGACTACAGGGCGAGCTTCCTGGAGGAATAGACCAAGATGTGCTTGGCTAACCCAGGAAAAGGGGCCACGAGAGCCACTCACCCCCCACCCCTCACCCCCGCCCTGGGATCCGGCAGACCTTGGCCAGGAAACGGTGGAGCTGGCCCCGCGGTTAGGAACCATCAGGCTTGTTTGGGGAACTTGCAGGGGAAGTTGGGGATCATGCAGCTCCTTAAATGGCGAGGCGGGGACACACAGGGAGGTAGAAGGCGCTGGCAGCGACTAGAGCAACGGTGGGTGGGGGGTTGGGGGCGACGGAGGCGGCGGGGGTTAGCTGTACCAGCGCCCTCTGCTATCCCACGCGCAGTTCTTTCCCAAACTGCGGCTGCCAGGGGTCGCCATGATTGGCTGCGAGCCGCTGGCCCGCGCGCGGATTGGCTGCTTGGGGCTGGGGGGCCGGGCCGAGGGGTAGAGTCCGCCCCACGAACCTTCAAATAGGAAGCCCCCCGGAGGCGCTGGCAGACCCAAGGGTGTGCTGCAGACTGCTGGGGCAGTGGACCGAGGGCGGTGAGCCCGGCGCGCGGGTACCAGGGTCCGTGCAGGGCGCCGACTTGCTCATCCGAGGTATCGCCGCCCCCGCCCCCTCACCCCCCGGTCCCGGGGCTTTCGGGCGCGCGTCTCACCTCCAGCCATGGGGTCGGCGGCTCTGGAGATCCTCGGCCTGGTGCTGTGCCTGGTGGGATGGGTGGGCCTGATCCTGGCATGTGGGCTGCCTATGTGGCAGGTGACCGCCTTCTTGGACCACAACATCGTGACGGCGCAGACCACCTGGAAGGGGCTGTGGATGTCGTGTGTGGTGCAGAGCACGGGGCACATGCAATGCAAGGTGTACGACTCAGTGCTGGCGCTGAGCACCGAGGTGCAGGCGGCGCGGGCGCTCACCGTGGGCGCCGTACTGCTGGCGCTGGTCGCCCTCTTCGTGACCCTGGCAGGCGCGCAGTGCACGACCTGCGTGGCCCCCGGTCCTGGCAAGGCGCGCGTGGCTCTCACGGGCGGCGCACTCTACTCGCTCTGCGGGTTACTGGCACTCGTGCCGCTCTGTTGGTTCGCCAACATCGTGGTCCGCGAGTTTTACGACCCGACCGTACCCATGTCGCAGAAATACGAGCTGGGCGCGGCGCTGTACATAGGCTGGGCGGCCTCGGCGCTGCTCATGTGCGGCGGGGGCCTTGTGTGCTGCGGCGCCTGGGTCTGTGCTGGCCGCCCGGACCTCAGCTTCCCTGTCAAGTATTCGGCGCCTCGGCGGCCCGGGGCCGGCGGCGACTATGACAAGAAGAACTACGTCTGAAGGCGCCGGGCACCGCGAGGCCCCTCGCGCCAGTCGTGCCCCGGAGCCGGACTGGCCAGGGAGTCCCGCACGGACGGATGCCTGCTTTGGGCCGCGCCACGCACAAGCTCCGTGGAATGCCCAGCTCTGCGCCAGCACGCACGCCACCGACGGGACCCTGCCAGTGCCTGAAGCCTGTCCACTCCAATTGCCACTCGCCAGGCCCTGCCCTGCCCTGAACAGGCGACATGCACTTAGGAGGACTCGCTCGGTTCTGTTCTCTGTGCGGAGTGCTGGTTCCGACGTGGGAATGGCGCGGGTTCCTTTGTTGTGTGGGCACTGGACTAAAGATGCCACTTCTCTCGTCCTCGAAGTCTGGGATGCCGCCGTACTTTCCAGCGGCTCCTGCTAAATCCAGAGGGGCAGACGGTGGGCCCAGGACCTTCAGCTGAGTTGCCTGAAGGATGCGTACAGCTGGCCTTTACCCCATCAGCGAGGTCTGAGCCCAGGGGGACCAAAAGACTTGGCCTGGACCTACCTCCTTTACCCCAGCAGCTCTCCAAGGGAGGCTTATGGGCACACTCAGATCCTGAGTGTGGGGCTGGGGCCCTGCCCTCCTTCATATCTTGGGGGAGGGGTAAAAATTTGCTTAGTAAATGGTTTGAATACCCTCCCATCTGTGTCCTGTTCTCTGTCCAGTCATGCCTATGCCCAGTAGCCCCCATTCACCCACCCACCCAAGGACTCCTGTTTAAAAGGCTCCTGTGGGTACTCTCCCACATCTGGCTTCTTGGGTCCTTCCTGCCACTTGATCACTTTTCCTGCTAGGTGGGAAACAGCCACAGGTCACTAAATCCCAGGAAGGTGAGCCCTGTAGTTAGAAGAGCCTCTGCTGAGTCATGGGAGGAAAGGGGGAGGGAGACCCCAGCAGAGGATGCAGGTTGGACCCACCCCCTCCCAAGACAGTGCGTGGGGGCTTGGAATACAGGAAGTGCTGAGGGTAGGCTGCTAGGCTGCTGGGCTCCACAGGCTAGGTATTTTCCACCTGCCTCCTTGGCTCACCTATCTCTAGGTCTTATTAAACGGCTATAGATCTGTACATCATGTCAGAAAAGGGCCCTTTCTGACAGTGAAGCGGGAACAGGGGCAATTCCAGGATGTGTGCTGTGTTCCAGCAGAGCTAGGTCCACAAGCATGTTGCCATGGAGAGGCCTCAGAGCCAGTTGTCTGGAGAGTGCCTGGGCTTGCCTCCAGCCCCTGTCCTGGCTCTTCTGCCAATCTTTGGGTGGCTGTGTAGGTCCTGTGCCTACTGTACTGGCCTGGCAGCCACCTCAGACTTGTGCTAACCTTTAGCGCCTGTGCCAGCACCTGCAGGGAGCACCCTGTGACCTTCTTCCTGAGTGGGACGCCTGGGGGCCATGTTGTTCCTGGCCAGGCACCTGAGGGTGGGGGTCCCAGGAAGGTAGAGCAAACCAGAGCTGTTAGAGCTTATTACTGCCAACCCTGTTCTAGGTACTTTGAATGCATTTTTACCTTTTCCCAAAGGCCAGGGCAGAAGAGAACAGTGGATGGGAGTAGGGGAGATGCAGGGAGGCACTTCAAACCCAGCCAGCAGAAAGGCTTGGCATTGTCACCGACCTCGGCCTCAGGAGCCCTGTCCAGAAATGCCTGGGCCACATCCAGTGGCAAGGAGTCTCTCAGGCTTGGCCAGGTTCCTTGAAGGTGGGGGCCGTGGCCGGGGCTTGAGAACCCCAGGACATGGGCTCAGAGGGACTCAGGGTGGCAGTAGCAGAACCAGTTGAATGGGACTTCCAGGGAGGCTAAAACGACTGGTGGCCTGACAGCCCAACAATGGGATGAGCCCATGGCACAGAGGTACTCAGTAGCCCCCCATGGCAACCCTGCCTGGCATGTGCAGAAGGGACTAAGAACAGTCTCTAAGTGCAGGAGTATGTGATCCTGGTTTTTGCATTGCTACTCCTGGCTGCTGGGGCCAGCTAGTGCTGGGTATAGGGCATTTGGCCAGGAACGCAGGCTGCATCCCACATAAGCCCAGAACTCTCTGACTCCTTCAGGCCCCAGGGATCAGCTAGGATTCTGAAGGGTAGCTGTTTAGCCCTAGCTTTTGTAAACAGATAGGGTGGGCAGCTTGAGGACCCTGGGGAGCCAGGCTACTGCTGCCTGACCCACGCCAGGAAGAGCAGGGGTAGACTCCACTGCCAGAGGTCAAGAGAGAAGAGTTGGCCACCAATATAGCCGACCCCACTATGCCCACTACCCCTTCCCAAGGACTTGAGACCTGGCCCTACCCACCGCTTTAAGTTGATGGGGGTAAAACCCAGAAAGAGCCCATCAACTTAAAGCCTGCCAAACCACTATGCTCCCTCCTGCCCACAACCCAAGGCGGCTTGTCTGCTTCCCGATACCCATGCTCCAGGTGGTGGCCACAGACAGCCTCTGCCACTTGTGAGAACAGCTCCTCCCCAAAGGGCAGGAATGGATGGGGACAGGGAGCATTCTTGCCTCTAGATCATGCTCTGGGCTAGCTGATGGCTCTCCTGAGAACTCTCACTGCTCTGAAGACTTTGGAGATCGAGGTCCCATCCAGCTCAGACCTTCCGTGACCAAGACACAAGTGAAATTGACCTCGGGGGCACAGTGTCTCCTGCCCTGCCCTTCCTGGCTTGGGACCTTGCCCAGTAGCCTGGCGGTACCTGTTGTGTGCCTGTGGGGCTGGGGGTGCTTAGACAGGTAGATGCTAAAGGGTGAGATGACAGCTGTGGAGGGCACGGTCTGGTGGGGGCACCATCCAGAGGGTGATCTTGAGATGCTGCCAGAGCCAGGCAGATAGGAGGAAGTGGTGGGAGGGCAGACAAAGCCAGGTCCTGGCTGGCATTGCCAGGCAGTAGTCAGTGCACATGCTATGCATAGGTTCAGGTGCTCAGGGGCCCTGCCTCTGCCCATTGTCATCTCTCCCCACAACGAGGGTGTTCATTTCCTGCTGGGCCCTGGGGGTGCCCAGGGGCCAGTATCAAGGCTGCTCTGGACCCAGAGAAGACTCAGGGTACAACCAAGCACTAGCCCTGTAAATAGAGCAAAGATTGGGGCACCAAACCTAAAATAAGCATTTTATTCCATTAAAAATCACTGTCCCCTGAATCTAAAAAACTATGTCCATAACTTACAAACTAAATAAAATGTGGTTAATATAAATAAGGAGAAGGTCATTTCTGAAGAAATCAAACTCTGTAAAAGAAAAAAAGAAAAAAAATAAATATCAAGCAATTCTGATGTCTCCCCAGAGTAAACATACCATCTGGGCCTCTGATACACTGGGCTTGCTTCTGAGTAGCCTCCACCACTCACAGAGAGAGGGCCACCCCAGAGACACCAAGGTGCCTGCCGTCTTCACTATACCCCACTGGCCAGGTCCAGGCTGTTGTCCACTTAAGAACCTCCGAAGGCTTCACGCTTGCCCAGCCTCAGCTCCATGGTGATGCTCCCCTCGCCTGGAGCATTTCCTCCTGACCCCCCAGCAAACTGCTCCTCTCCCTTCCCAGCTGGCCCACCCTGCACCCTGTTTTGGTGGCAGGACACATAGCAGCGCTGGCATCATCATTGAGCAGGCTGCAGGAGAGGGGCTGCCCAAGAGCCCCACTTGTAACCTTTGATTTGGGTCATAAACTTATACCTCTGCCCCCACCTTAAGGCCCTGTGCTGAGGTTTAGTACTTGTTGTCCAAGGGGTGTCAGTCTCCTTCCCGATGAGGAAATAGGCACAGCCTGATGAGGTACCCAACAGACCTCACTGAAGACCCTAAAGGCCTAACCCCAGAGGCCCTCCCCAACAAGGGCCATGTGTGCCCCAGCCCAACCTGAGGATCTGTGGGGGTCCCTGAAGCCCCCTATGCTGTTCTCAGGAGAGCCTAAAGGGCTCCAACGGGGGAAGGGAGCCTGCCCTCACAGCTTCCAGCTCACCATGGACGGTAGAGCAGGAGGATCTGGGCTGGCATGAGGGTACCCACTACGCTGCCTTGACAGGACCATCTGCCATAGCAGTGGCCCCAGCCCAGGCTCAGGGAGATGCAGGGCTGGGCATGGGCATTCCCTGTGTGGGGGGCCCTGTGCTGAGAAGTGGTCATTAGACACCGAGCAGGCCTCCTAACCTGGTCAGATGTGGCTTGTTTATCGAGTGGCCCCTCAAGAGTTGCCATGTTGGATAGTGCGGAAAGCCCTGAATGGAGAGGCGTCCAGTGTCACAGAGGACTGTCAGTTATAGCTGCATGCTGGTGCAGGCCCGGGTAGAGCAGACATTTTATAATTCCCAGCTGAGTAGCTGCCAACAACTTTGCTTTCTCAAAAGTCAAGCATACTAGAGCCTGGATAGATGTCCCTGTGGGCTCCAGCCCAGGGCCTGACTAGAGGCTGTGAGAGGCTCCAGGTGGCCCCCTAGGGGTGCCCTTGTTACCAGCAATGCCAGGAGGCCTGTGTGTCCCTCGCTGATGCCCAGCCCATGGTGTGGCAAGTGTCAGCTATTTTTGAAGGGGTCCCAGGAGCTTAATGCAATTAAGCTCCCTCAAAAATGCCCCATTGTGGCACTGCCGCCAGCCCAGGGACAGACATCCTTGGGAAAAATGTGTTGGCCCCAAATCTCTTCAGGAGCCTCATTCTGGTCCAAGACCCAAGTAAAAGCCTGGGGGAGGGAAAAAGCAGGGGGACCACTGCAGGGCATCGGGAGGGACTTCAGCACAGGCTCTGCAGCAGGGCCACCCCTACCCTGCCCCCACACTAACCCTCAGGACAGGAGGGAAATGAGCCCGTCCAAAAACTTGCTCCGATCCTCCGCTTTCAGTTCAATTACTGCAATAATGAAAGAAAAACATCTTGTGAGATGGGAGGAGTAGGGATGGGAGTGAAGAAGTGAGAAAAACAAGTCAGGGCACATTAACTCCCTCTTCCCAACCATCCAGGGCTGGAACCCTCCAGCACATTCCAAAATGGGCTTAGCTACTTGATGGCCTG